CCGTGTGTAAGTCACAGGCTTAATGACGAGTAGTCTTTTAGTAGAAGACACCAATTTTCTACTGCAAGTCCTGGAGACTACTCATGTCCATTTCAATCAATACTCCTTTAAAAAGTATTTTAGATTAACTGGGAAACTTGAGTTTGGCCATTTCTTCCCCCTATGTTAAATGATATCCCTAAAAAATGTGTATTGTCTGGCTGAGCCCTGCAGATGATATTATCCTTTACTGCAGAGAAGTATCCCTGTAACGCAATTATACATTTCCTGTAAAGTCTCTATGTGGATGGAAAAATAACTGTAGCCTCTGGCTTGGAATTACTGTGGGATCAAGATTTATTTTCTCTCATCAATTTCTGTTTTTGTAGGAGGAAACTGAAACGTTTTCCGTTGTTGCACTGTCAGTGAACATTGTTGTAGTTCACTTTTGTCTATTGTTTAAGTTGTGGCTTTTGACATGACATTTTTAAGAGGTGTTTTTCCTAATTAAATCTGTATTTGAATTAAAAAAAGATTTCTCAGTTGCTTTAACCAAATACAAATGGCTTATTTCATACTGCAGTAGTAATTGTAGTCAAGATAAGTAGTTTTGTTTATGAACACACAAAGGCCCAAACACAGTTGCACATCACCCCCTTGATTTGCATGCTACTATAAGTGTTAGTGTGTCCCATTTCTTTTGAGGACAACATTAATGGTCAATTACACTTTGAAATTAAATATGGGGGGCCATTTAAAAGGCTAGATAGTGAATACCCTACCATATGCAGCAGCCAGGGAGAAGAGACTAGAATTAAACTCAAGACTCCGAATTTATTACATCAACACGGCAAACAATCAAAAACATCATATCCAGCACTTGAACTTGAAGAAGTTCTGCAGATCCTCATCATCCTCTTGTCTGTTGTGGATCCCCGCGTAGACGGTCTTTAGCAGCTTGGTCTTAGACTTTCCATCCAAAATGTGAATGTAATTCTCTATGCAACCTGCAAACACAACCACAGATTTGCATAACAAAATTAGTTCACTCACACTGACAAAAATATTGTAGCATGTCATATTGTCTGGGTGTGTCTGACAAAATATTAAATATATTTATATAACTACATTATATCCTGACTTGCCCTGTGGCCAGACAGTTTATTTGACAGCAGTCACCATATATGTATTACTATTTAGTATGCAATATGCCATCTATCTGTCAATCACACCAGCTGAATGTGATACATCTCTATAAATAACACGACATGGCATGTCACATGGGTCTGGCGGCGTGATTTCAGTACAACACATTTGGTAAATATAGTCCAGCTGCCTATAAAGAAAATCATGGTAAACCAGTATTTTTTTTACACCTAAAAATGTATCTGTAGCTGGCAATCTTAATAAGCAACACTCACACTTTATAGGTAGATGCTCCCCATGTCCATTCAAAATCATTAAAAAGTTATTTAACTAGACATTTTGTTTAAACTCTAAAGGTTTCTGTAAATAACTTTTTACTGTTCAAGTCTGACTTTTTCCAAAGCTAATACCACGTGTTTATAGTATTTATAATAATAATAATAAAAAGTAATCACTTAGGCCCATGACTTTGCCATAAGCTATGAGGCTGGGGCCAAGCTGTGGGTGGTCGTACTGCTCCTCAGACATCAGCATGCGCACAATGTCTCCTGTGATGAAGGCATCCTCGAAGTTTTGCTCAGCCACAGGCTTCAAAGGGAATTTGCAGTATACATCCAAAGCAGCCTGAGGGTCGGATGGCTCCAGCAGCTGCGCAAGCTCAATGTAGGCATCATGGATCTAAACAGTCAGTTCATTAATCATATTTGATCTGCACTGCATTAAACCAGATAAACACCAAGAGCATGAGACTCTTTAAAAATATTTAAACTACAACTTTTAGAGGTTTTCTAAATATCGAAGACATGTAATGGGAAATCTTTTTCCTAAATGTTCTTGAATGACTATATTCACTGTAGATGAGATGTATGAAAGTATTTTCTCAGAAATCTCAGCTAAATTTGAATCAAATGATCAAATAATGACATTTTATTAGTTCTATATGAATCTCTCCCTCATATTTTGAATGTCTTGAATTATACTGCACATTTTCTTCAGACATAATTGAGATCTTTTTTTCAGGCAAAGATTTATGAACAAAGGGTAACCGCTTTCAAGTCTTGAGCACGAGACTTTAAAATCTGAATATATTAGTTTAATTTTCTAGTCCAACAGCAGAACATGTGGCTATTCCACAGAGTTGGTGGGAGAAAGAACATGTTAATAAAATCCTCACTTAATGTGACTGGAAGCTATTGTGAAACTTTGGGAAACGCTTTAAAATGCAAATATAAAAGATGACTGACCTCTGGTGCCATTGCGATGACCTCTTGGTATAGCTGTTTTGCTTGGTCCTGGGTGTTTGGAGATCGTGAGTAAGCTCGAGCCAGACCCAGTCTTGCTGCATGAGATCTGCGGTTCATCAGACTGGACTCATGGATTTTGTCTGTCACAGCAACTGAACAGAGATTGTTTTGAATCCCACATTGTACCCATTTAATGTTCTTGGAAACCAAAATCCTTAAGTAAAGAAAATTTGTATATTTATGACAGTGGTGCTAAACAACTAATGTCAAATCATCTGCATTTCAAGTAATCAATACCACTGTTTTGCATGTTATACCTTCAGTTAAACAGCATTATATTTGAACTTCTTAAACAGAAAAATGTATAAGCCCTCTTTTATCATCAAGATTTAGATTTTCTCTGTGTAGTTTTTTTTTTTATTGTAGCTTGCAAAACCTGTTCACACCTCACCAAGAAAGGATTTTCAGTTTCCCAGACTTGCCTCTGTAATGCCTTACCCTCAGCTTTCCTCAAAGTATCAGAGAAACTGTCCTGTTTAGACTTGTTGAGCGGGAGCTGAGGTTTAGTGTTATGACCAGAAAGTTTCACCCTATCTGGCTTGGCAGCTGCTCCAGAACTCCCCCTACAGGAGAGAAAGCATAATACAGGCTCTCTAAAAACTTATTTAATATTCAAGTGAAAAGTCTGTTTTTTTGTTAGTTTGGTTGTTTGTTGTTGTTTTGTCTTTTCATATAGCAGACCCAGAGTCATAAATGGTAAAAGGCTGTTTTTGCTTCATACGTAGGAAGCAAGGCAAAGCTATACAGGCTATAAATCCATAGGAAACCATTCATGCTATGACAATGGGAAAGGGAAAACCATCTAAACCATGTATCTACAAACACCTTTCTCAGTACAAACCTGGCTGCAGGGGTTTTGGCTGGATTCCGGACAGCCTTCCCTCCCCTGGTGGGAGCTGGAGCTGGTGCTTTGGTTACAGCTACTGCTACACACCTAGAACCTCACCTGCTCTGCTGCACTCCTCTTTTTGCCAATTTGATGTCACAAGTCTCCTTTACACCAGCTGGTTGGGTGATGGACTGCTTGGCAGCTTCCTTAGTTTTAACCTCCACCTTTTCCTGCCACCACTTTTGTTCTGAGCAAACAGGTAATGGTGAGGAAAAGTTAAATTCCAAAAAGGCTACATTAAAAATGTGTTAAAAACACCAGCCTATTGGAAGAAATAACAGAACATTCATTGAAACACAATCATCAGTTTGATAGGAAGTAATAATTCTGGCATGAAATACAAGCACAAGACATGGAATATAAAAGTTACATGACCACCAGAGATGTCAATGAAGTATGTTTGCTAGAGAATATCAGGTCCTTTTCATTCATTATCCTAACATATGCTTTCTTGCATCCCCTCTCCTCCCATAGCATGGAAATTGTTTCCTAAAGACTATCACAGGAGATCTTCCAGTTCCGTAAATGTACCTGAAGGACATGAGGGGCTATGATTACCATTTTGGGGGTTCTATGAAACAGGTTTATGACACTGACCTTTCCATAAATTAAAATATTTAAAATGAATTCTATATGACTAAAATCAACACTGGCAATAATGCCACTAAAATTAAGATACATTAATCAATGAACATATCTTATGAGAAAAAAGACAAGACATCATAATATTAGAAGTTCTGTGGACATTCATATCATTCAGTGATGCAGCTGTGAACCTTCTTAAGTAACTAACATAACTTGAGACCGACACTATGGAGGCAAGGATTTTTCATTTGGCAGCTTTGATTCTTGCATCTTGGCATCGCTTCCTCTCATCTCTCTCACATCCTTGCTGGGAGCAAGAAATGCAAGTGAAGGAAGTGAGGAGGCACATTAGCATAATGAAAGGGACCCATGGTGTTGCCAGCAGCCTACGGTGGTGACCTTCCTCCCACTTGTAAGGTGGAGGAAGCTGGTTCATCTGGCTGGGGTCAGGCCTACAATTCTGCTTTATTTTTATGTAGTTTTCTACACATTACAGGTAAACCAGCTTTATTCACCTTACAAGTGAAAAGAAGTGCACCACTGCAAGCTGCTGGGAAAACCATCTTTTCTGAAAAAGCTCACTTTAGTTAATGTACAGAGACTCACTGGTCAGCTGTTCAGGTGGCTCTCCAATCTGAGTCTTGAGTTCCAGCTCAATGCTGGCCTGGAGGCTGAGAAAGGCATCACTTATAGCTTCCTTTAACCTTTCTGTAACCGGAAGGTTGCCGGTTCGAGCCCCGGCTTGGACAGTCTCAGTCGTTGTGTCCTTGGGCAAGATACTTCACCCGTTGCCTACTGGTGGTGGTCAGAGGGCCCGGTGGCGCCAGTGTCCGGCAGCCTCGCCTCTGTCAGTGCGCCCCAGGGTGGCTGTGGCTGCAATGTAGCTGCCATCACCAGTGTGTAAATGTGTGCGTGAATGGGTGGATGACTGGATATGTAAAGCGCTTTGGGGTCCTTAGGGACTAGTAAAGCGCTATATAAATACAGGCCTTTTACCATTTTCTGAATTTGGGTTATTGTCGTACTGAGCCAGCTGTGCCAGACCCAAGAGACAAAGGGCATGGCTGTCACGCGGTGTGGTTACTACTGCAAGGTGGCACGTCTTCATGCACCAGCAGTAAAGAAACCGGAAGAGAAAAAAAGTCTGAATTATGTCACACGAAACACTCTTGGATATTAACAGTCACTCTATGGATTAGGTACCCTGCACTCGTAAAAAAGAAAGCTCAACACTCATACCCTTTCCTGCATGTCAAGAAGTTCCTGACAGGGAGTGATAGAGGTGTGACGTATTAGAGCTGTGAGGGCCTGGCATCTTTTTGCCTCTCAATGCCAGTCTTAGCCTGGCATTCACTCTGCTGGGTCAGCCTCTGCAGCAGGGCAAAGTGAGCATCCAGCAGCACCCACTCCAGCTGCCTGCTCACCTCACCACGACGTACACACTGACTCACACTCTGGGCACTCAGCATTGCCACACTGAAGCAGTCCAGCACAGAGACAAGAAGACAGTGTTTTTATGTAGTGGTTAAAACAGCTAAACTGGCTTCTACTCTTAAATGACAGGACTTTTCTTTGGATCGCACATTCACTGCTGAGATGAGTGAGACAGCTCGTTAGAGCTGATATCCACTGCAAACCCCGAATAATAAAACCAGCAAAAAATAAAAACTCCCAAAGTTTTACATACATATGATAGACCTGTTCAGCACTCATGGCCTTTGTGCATAATGTGCTTCTCTGCTGCAGTTGCCCCAGAGTAAGAAGGCCACGTAGGAACTGTGTGTTGCGGCTGGACAGAGGGTCCGATAGATCCTGCTCCTCCCAGCTGTAAACAAAATCATAAAATATATGGCAGTACAAGCACGAAGCAGCCATTATAACTCTATAGATGACACAACTTAAAGTGTATCAATGTGCTTCTGTAGATGATAGTGGTCTCTTTCAATCAGTTACCTCTCCTTTCGACAGGCTTAAACAGAACAAGCTGGTATATTATTGTTGCTGTCATGGCCTCACACTCTCCCTCTCTCACTGAATATATCCACCTCCACCTCCACCACACACACACTCACTCACACACACACACTCACTCACTCACTCACTCACTCACACATACACACACACACACACACACACACACACACACACACACACACACACTCACAGAATTACAGAGAAGAGCGAACGGAGAGAGA